GCTTCTAAAGTATTTTAGAATCAACTCAAAATTAATTAATGAAATTGTTCTTGCCAAAGGTAAATGAGTTCAAATTTACAGAGAAACTTTTTGAGATGGTGAGGATTTGGGTTAATTAATATGGTAAAAATATTTCTTGTTCTGTATTAAAGAACGGCATTCTTGGTTTCTCTCGTTATTCGGAAAGGAAAAATACGGTCATTCGTGGACCTCTTTTATAACGTGAATGCAAAGATTAGGCTTTTGCTTTCCAATGGATTCACTGAGTCACTCTATATTATCCCAAAAATTCAGCTAATATGTGATGGAAAGTGTAAAATGAAATACTATAAATGGTCATTACAAATATTTAAATCATTACAATACGGCTTTCAAATGAAAATAGTGACGAACCTAACTCCAGTACACGCAAGTTTTCATTAGTTTTAGCCGTAGCTCCGTGGACGGCGGGGGGAAAGAGAGGTCAAGTTCTACATTGAGATTCAAAATGTGGAACTTGTAGTTAATTCATTTGTTTGTTGGAAATATAGAGTTCCTAAGGGTACTCACACGGGTTCTTGGATTTAATTTACATTTTCAATTTAGGGTAGCATTTGACTCAAGAAATATACCATTTTTAATTTAAGAAATATTTACAGAAAGAAATTTCATTGTGTATTTTCATGGTTATTGAACTGTACTTGAAAAGAACTTAAAAATGTATTTGGTGAGATCAAAATTACCTAGCAACGCAATGTACCATGTAAAGGGAAAGGCCGTTTTCCCTCATTAAGGGAAAATTGAGAAAGTAGCGAGAACATTAAAATTGAAAGATAATCGCAATAAAATTTATAATTTTATAAATTCTACAATTCAATTTATGCAAATCCTAAGTACTGCCACATTCTAATATTGCATACATGCATTTATCCTACATCGACAGGCATCATGTCATGCAGTTGGTCTCCTTTTCAATTTACCAACTCGGGGAATACAGCTCTCTCTTGTTCCACATTATAAATTAAAGAGAGAGAGAGTTTTTTTAGAATGTAAATTTTGTGTTCTCGGGTTAAACAAGATTGTTTTAAGGAAATGAATGGGACTAATGGATTTTGGTTAGATACGTAAAATTCAAATGATTTTATGATTTATATGGGAGCGCTAGGTAATAATTTGGTCAATACAAACCTATTAGATAATCTTACACAAATATTACACATCACAGCGTATGATTACATTATTGTACCTTGGTATTGTTTACTTCTTTATATTAACACGTAACGCTTGTCCAGGGAAACAAGGTGGTCGACATGTTTACTGGTTTCTCCCTCTTAGATCAAGGACTAAGTATACTGGAGTAAATGGGTACGCTAGATCTATTCAGTATTGGTGTGGGAGTTCAACACGGCAAAATATATAAAATTGTTTACTGACTCACACCAAATTGTATCTTACTCAAATGACAGATGACATAAACAAAATATATTTTCTATTAGTAGAGATGAGAGAGAGATGTCAACACACAGACAAAGCTTATTATACAAGTGGTTTGGCTTTGACTAGAGAAAAGAGTTGCTAGGGATAGTTTACTCCATCAGCTTTAGTAAGGGAAAGCATGGTTCCTTAGGGCTTTATTGCATCTCGGTCAAGGCGAGCCGGTGAGCAGTAATATTGAGGTATGCTGCAATGGAAGCTGCTACTGGGTCATCACAAGGGAACGCCTTCACATTTTCTACTAATAATACTCATAATTTCATACCGTTTCTACAAATTAATCACAAGAAATAGAGGGTGTCTCAATATACTGAAAGTTGCTATTTACTTTAAACATATACAATTTTTCACTTAATGGGGATAACCTCTGCAAGTAGAATGCCAACGCGTTTTTTTTCTGTTTGGAGTCAAGTTG